ACCGCCCCGTTTGGCCCAGGCCCCGCCTACCCCAGACCTCCCCGCCCGCCCGCGCGGCCGCTCAGCCGTCCTTCTGCGCTGCAGGTGAACGCGAGCAGCGTCTCCCGGGCCGTCTCCCTGCCCTACAGCCAGGAGCTGCCATGCCTGTGCCTGGAGGTCGGTGGAGGTGTGGCCTGGACTTCGGGGTGGGTAGGGGAACACAGGGATGAGCGGCCTGTCCTGACCCCAGTCCCTCCCGCAGGGCTGGCCTGCCACCCCTGACGCCGTGCGGACCCAGATCTGCCCCTTTGAGAACGGCAAGTGTCGTGCGATGCCAAGGCGCGGAAGGGTGGGAATGACTGCGGCCAGTCTGACCCCACCATGAGGCTGACGTGGGGGGATGAGACAAGGGGCAGGCCCGGCCTAGACCCCTGAGCCTGCTTGGAAGGGCCTGTCACTGAGGGAACCTGAGCACGGATGTGGATGTGCACAAGTGTGTGTGTGCACGTGCGTGCAGTGTACATGTGTGCACACGTGGACCAGCTCACCTGGGAACACCAAGTTTGTCAAGAGGGGCTGTCTGAGGGCTGCCCTGCTCTCGGTTCTGCTCAGTGACGCTGTACACACACACACGTGCACACCCATACATGTGCACATGCACGCCCATTCCCACGGACATGCACCCATGCACACACGCATGCACTCATGCACATACACACTCATACACTGCATAGGCAGGCGAATCCATGCACAGGCACACACACATGCACACGCATCCACGCACACATGTGCACAGACTTGGGTCTGAGCTCACAGACCATAGGAGGACTGCTCTGGACCCTGGCCCAGTGGTCACTGCAGTGGGTGACCCCATGGGCCCACTGGCAGCCAGAGTAGGGCCCAACTGACCTGTGGTTGGGGGAGGGTTCCTGCAGACACTCGGGCCCTGGAGATGCTGTGGGACACAGTCCACTACCACCCCAGGAGCCAGACACTGAGCTGGGAGCCTGCCTGCCCTGTGAGTGGCCAAGTGAGCCTGTGCTGGTGCCCGGGGCCCGGGGACAGCTGCCATAAGCTGCAGCACTCCAGCCAGCTGGCGCATCACAGAGTGAGTGCCCGCACAGCGGGGTTGGGGGTGGGCGTGGATGCCACAGCCTGACCTGAGCCCTCCTCAGGTGCAGTACCGGCTGGTGGACACCCAGCCCCAGCTCTGCCTGAAGGTGAGGGGTTGCTGCGGCCTGCCAGTGCCCTGCTTGGGGATGGGCCGGGGACATCAGGGCAGGGAGTGGGGCAGGGGCCCTTGCCCAGCCTCTACGCAGTCCCTTAGAGCCCCCTCCTGGTCTGACAGTGGGTAAGCTAAGGGCCCAAGAAGGAGAACTGGGCCCAGAGCACCCTGAAGTTGAGCCAGCCTGTCTCCCTGCACCCTCTCCACCCACCCACACTCCTTACCCCACTTTGCAGTTCTCCACCAGCTGGGGGTCCTGGGTGCGGTGCCCTTTCAAACGGCGTCAGTTCCCAAGTAAGTTCTCCATGGGGCCTCTGCAGCGTGGACGTGGCGTGGAACACCCTTCACTTCACTCTGTTGGATGGGGAGGCAGGACGACAGGGTTCGGGGCCAATGTGGGGCCCAGTGGGAGGGGGAGGTGCAGTGGGTGGGTGCTGGGCCCACCGGGGAAGGAAGGGAGGTGGTGGGTGCGGGGCCAGATGGGGTCTCATCCTTCACCCCCCACAGCCTGGAAAATGACCATCCAGCCTTCACCCAGGCAGGGCCACCTCCGGGCCACCTTCTTCTCGTCCAGCCCCGCCAACTTCCAGGTGCACCTGTGTCACAGGAGGAGGTCACAGCTCCCAGCCTGCCAACCCGCACTCCAGGCCAGCCCACTTCCTCCAGCCTCAGTGAGCCGGGCGGGTGGGGCTCCGTCCTGGGGAGGTGGGGGTGGGTGTCAGGACCCTATCACTTCCCTGGGGGGCCTCTGCACCACCTAGGCCCTGAGCCCACCCGGGGTCTAGCCTACCTGGCAGGGAGGGGTGGGGGGGCCTGTTTGTGGGTGCTGAGAGGGTACGGGATAAGGACAGTCTCCTGGTCTGCCCTCCCCCACCCAGGCTGACCTCGAAGCTGCCCCTGCCATTGCCTTCCTGGACCTTCCCAAGCAGAAGGCCTGTGCCCCAGGCATCTGCATCCAGGTGGGCGTCGCTGCTGTGCCCAGCCCGTACCCATCTCCTCCACTGCAGGACCTCAGTTCACACCCCCACGCCCCATCCCCCACACCTCGGGGAAGCAGGAGGCCGTGTTGAAGAGCTGCCTTATGCCTGCAGGGCTGGAGGACCGATGTGCACTTCTCTGTCCCACAGCAGTTCTGCAACCTCCACGCCAGGGGGTGCCCAGCTTTCAGGGGCCGCAGGGGGCCGAAGACTGGACTCAGGCACTCCCGGCCTCCCTCGGCGGGCTGGGCGTGGCGTGCGCTGAACAGGAGACTGGGTGGGGGGGATGGGGAGACCACCCAGCCCTGAGCCAGGCTTTTGCACCAAGCCAAGGCCTGCACCCACCACTGCCCTCCAGCCTCGAAGTTCCCTGTACCACACGCCGCTGGCCTCCCGAACGCCCTCCCTGGCCTCACTCCATCACTGGCCTGGCCGCCTCCTCCCTGAGGGTCCACCTCCCCTGATCAGAACTCTGATTCTAATTGCGAGCGACTTGGGATGTCCCTCAGCACACCAGCCACTGAGGCCCAGGTTCCCAGGACCCAGGGCACATCGGGACTGGACTGCCCAGTGGACAGAACTAAGCACGTGTGTCCTGGGTGTGGTCAGGAGCGTGGCTCTGCCTTGGAGTCCAGGAAGGGTCAGAGCTGGCACTCCCACCTGCCCCCCTCCCTGTGAGCTCCAGAGCTCCCCTAGCTTCAGGTGGGATGAACTGCAAGAGCCACAGAGGTGGGAGGGGTGGGCGGGGGTGGATAGGACAGCTGGGCACCCGGGGCCCCTGGAGACCCTTTCCAGGGAGCACCAGCAGGCCAGACAGGGGTCTCTAGAATGTCCCCTCAGCTCAGCGAGCCACGCCATTTCAGGACAGCTTGCAGCCTGCTGCCCCAGGACGTGCCCAGGGCCATGGCAGGACCCACACACTTTTATCTCCTCCTCCCAGCAGGACTTTTTGGCCAAGCCTGGGTCCCCCTCCCCAGCAAAGATCACCTCCAGCAGATCACAGACCAAAGAGGTGGTGGCCCCCTGCTGGTCAAGTGTCCCTGGGGCTGGGCCAGCCACTGTGGAGTGCCCGTGCCACACTGGGAAGTCCACGGCCCCAGAGACCAGCCCTTGAGGCAGCAGAAGGGCTGGGCCTGACTTAAGTGGGGGAATGTTGGCAGACCTGAGGGGCACACATGCTGCTCTCGGGGTTGGGGTGGATCCCTCTTTCACTTGTCTGCTGAGGGTCCCTACAGCCAGGAGGCTGACATCCACAGCCACTGCCCTCCAGGACTGGGCAGCCCCTCCCCTTCCCCCACATTGTCTCAGCCTCCCACAGTGTGGGCAGGGCTGGGGGGTGCCCCACATCTCTCTCCAGCTGCACCCACCCCCCTGGGACCACAGCCTGAGGCCAGGAACCTCCTCACGAACAAGTAGGTGCCAGCGCCACACTGCTGGGGGGCAGGAGGCCAAGGCGCAGCCCCCGACAGCTGAGCCAGGCCCCGTCAGAGTGCGGGTGATCTCACCTGACCGTGGGGCCCAGGCACCTGCTGGCTCTCCTGGGGCTGCAGCTCACAGGGGCTCCAGGTCACATAGAAGACCTTCAGCCCTTTCCTGAGTCCCCTGGGAACAGCAGGACCTGGGTGGGCTGCCCCTTCCCCAGATGGCCAAGGTGCTGGCCCTGCCATGCTGGACCCCAGCCTCCCTCTCAGAAAACTCATGGTCATGGCCACAGTCCCTGGCCCTGAAATCAAGGTCCTGGAGGCCTGGCAGCTGCCCAGAGCCTCCCGGTGCTCCAGGGTGCAGGATGCAACCCCCCTTCCTGTAGCTGACCAGGCTCAAGGTGGTCAACGTGGGTAACCCCCAACACGGGCACCGAGGAAGGAGAGCTGTGCCTGAAGACATCTTAGTTTATAGTGTTATTACTCAGCTGTTTCCTTTATGTAATCCTTCATATAGAATCATAGATTAGTTTACAGAATTAGTGCCTGAAGTATAACTTACTGCTTCCATATATCTAGCTTATATAATCATACTTAGTACTTATATCTAATATACTTAGTTCCATATAATCTTTCTATAAAATCGTATAGGTACTGTAGTCAGAGCTGTACGGACACATTCAGTGCTGATTTACAGGATCCTTCCATAGAACCACATAGTAGTTTGTAGTAGGAGGAATGCCCAGAGCAGTCACAGAACAGAAGCAGCACAGGGGAAAACAGCCAGACCAGGACGAGAACCAGAGACCCCGGGGGTGGCGTCCCTGCCTGAAAGGGCATACGCTGTACGGCAGGCTTGGAGCAGGAGCCCCTCCTCCTGATAAAGGAGCTGTAGCACCTCGCATCCAGTTCCTGTAGAAAGTCAGCCTCAGGCCTGAGATCCTGGAAGTAACCGAGGGAGAAGAACCCCTCTGTGTGACCAGTCACGGCGGCTGTGCACCCTGTCAGTCTTTTCTCCCTTCTGTGTTAGCTCAAAGAATCCTCCCATAAATATCTTAAGAGAAGAGCACACGTTTGTCAGCTCCCATTGCTTGGCTTACAGTATCCTTCTATTAGAAGCCCTTTGAAGTCTCCAGCCCCCAGGTAAGAAGTGTTGTGCACGACACCTGCTGCACACAGCCCACCTCCTTGCCTTGGTGACCTAATGGGGGTGAATCCCTTTTCTGTACACGACCCTCTACTACTGCGCACGGCCCACCTCTGCCCAGGTGACATAATGGGGTGGCCCCTTACCTGTGAGTCATGTGATTATGTATGCCCTATCACTAAGCCTATAGATGACCTCACGACCCTGCCCCCTGTTTGTACCTAATACATACAGACGCTTCTGGACATTCAGGGCCTCGCCTGCCTCCACTCATAAGTGGCGTGGCCCCCGAGTCCAGATGCTCTTTTCCAGTCCTTCAGTGTCCTGTCTCTTCTTAGATCCCACACCTCAGCACAGGATAAGGGACACCCCACGACCCTGTGGGGCCAATAGCCCTACAGGTCGAGGATCACCCCAGCTTGTGCCCAGAGCACCCCTCCTGGCTGGAGTCACGTCTCCTGTCTGTGCACCTCTGAGTGCTGAACTTCACTGCAGCACCCACCCTGCCCAAACCCCTCCAGGGGGTCTCAGCTTCCCCAGATCCCAGCTCCACTTATGCAGCAAGATTCTGCCACTTCCTGTGGCCTCAGAGGCTGCCTGCCTGAGGGCCCTCTGCTGGGATGTGCAGTTCTCAGACATTTCAAGTGGCACATCCAGGCCCTAGCCAGGGGTCCCCAGCAGTGGTCTGTGCAGTGGGCTATGCGGTCAGCCCTTGAAGAACTCCCGTGTGGGCCCCGTTGCCACCAGGCTCCCGCACTGAGCCGCCCTCTGGAGCCTGGACGTTCTCTCAGGTGAGTGCTGTGCAGGGCCATGTGCCCAGCCAGACACACACTCCCACTGCTGTCCAGCCCAGGCTGCCCTCTTCCACCCTGCCACCGGCCACTGGGCCTTCTTTTCCCTCCTGCAATGGAGGCTGCTATGCCCCACAGACTGGAGAAGGGACTGGAGGGCCAGTAAGTTCCCTCCCCTCAGTAAACACCGGCCCAGTGCCTGCCCCCATGGGCATGTGGGGGGTACGCAGCACCTTGGGACTCAGCTAGGAGAGGAGCAGGGCCTCCAGGAGTGGATTTGGGGTCAGCTAAGGTCAGCGCCACATGGTGTGACCAGACATTCCCATCCAAGTGTCCCCATAAAGGAGCAGTAGTGGGGACGCCCTGGGGATGCAGAGGCCAGGCCAGGTGAGGGGCTTGAGTACCTGGGTTTGGACACCAGGGGCAGGGAGGCCAGTGGGGAGCATGGAGAGGGTGCCCCAGCTGCCCCTCCCTAACCTGGATTTCAGGGGCACTGGGTGGTGGGAGGGTGGGCAGCACGGGCTGCCACTCTGCACTCTCCATGTCTCCTCTAGACACCCCTGTCCACCCCTAGCCAGAAGACAAGTGTCCCGGCTCAGCAGGGCAGCCCCCGCCCCAGGTTCCTGCACCCAACTCCTGGACCAGCCAGGGGTGCTCCCTGTGATGCACGAAGACCCCTGCTCTGACCCAGGGCTACTCTGGGAATCCTGGCTGGCCTTTAGGTGGGGCTGGGGAGGACTTGCCAGCGCAGGGTCATGGGGCTGAGCTCCTACCTGACCAGGTGTGGGCTCCCTCAAGCCTTTGCTGTAGCCCTGGCCCTCCCACAGATGGGGGAAACTGAGTCTTTTGGGACTCTTGAGAGGCTGTGTTCAGATCTCAGCTTCCCACCGCCCCTCCCAGACAGGGGAGGCACCTGCTGGAGGACACGCATGTGCTGCCAGCAAGCGGCAGTGGCGTTCAGGGCCGGTGCTGAGCTGGATCAGCTGCCCCCGCAGCCGACAGGGGGCACCCACAGCCCGGCACACCCACCACCTCGGCCAGGGACGCTGCCCTCCCTCCACCGCCCCCGCCGGAAACCCGCCCCACACCTGCCAGCAGAAAAGTGCCAAGGACCGAGGATCCCAGAAAGGGGGGTGCAGGAGGGGCAGGCAGGGGCACCTGCACCGGTGCACAGCCCTGCTCACGTCTGGGCCACAGCGTAATGCGGGTGAGCCTTGGATTCCCACCAGCCTCATTCACTCATCACACACAGCTGAGTGGGCCCTGGGCACTGACCCAGTGCCAGGAACAAACACTGGCAAAGATCCCCGGGCCTGCAGCTGGGGACCAAGTCTGGGGCTGCCTGGCACCAAGGAGTGTCTTGGAGCAGGACATCAGCGCTAAAACCAGGACGGTCCAGGCAATCTGGGATCATGGAGCCGACCTTTGCATGGGGGAGGCCACCACAGCCAGTTGACGCAGTAAGTGTGGGGGGCTGCAAGCTAAAATAGGGTGGGGCCCAGCTCGGCGGCTCCCACCTGTAATCCCAGCACTTTGGGAGGCTGAGGCAGGTGGATCACTTGAGGTCAGGAGTTCAAGACCAGCCCCACCAACATGGTGAAGCCCTAGCTCTAAGAAAAATACAAAAGTTACCGGGGCCTTGTGGTGGGCACCTGTAATCCCAGCTACTCAGAAGGTGGGGCAGGGGAACTGCTTGAACCCAGAAAGCAGAGGTTGCAGTGAGCCAAGATCGCGCCGCTGCACTCCAGCCTAGGTGGCTGAATGAGGCTCCATCTTAAAAATAATAATAAACTGGCCGGGTGCGGTGGCTCAAGCCTGTAATCCCAGCACTTTGGGAGGCCGAAGCGGGTGGATCACGAGGTCAAGAGATCGAGACCATCCTGGTCAACATGGTGAAACCCCGTCTCTATTAAAAAAATACAAAAAATTAGCTGGGCATGGTGGTGCGTGCCTGTAATCCCAGCTACTCAGGAGGCTGAGGCAGGAGAATTGCCTGAACCCAGGAGGCGGAGGTTGCGGTGAGCTGAGATCGCGCCATTGCACTCCAGCCTAGGTAACATGAGTGAAACTCCATCTCAAAAAATAATAATAATAATAATAATAATAATAATAATAAACTAAAAACTAAAATGAAATAAAAGAGGGTGGGGCCAGGCACAGTGTTGCACACCTAGAATCCCAGCACTTTTGGAGGCTGAGGCAGGAGGATCGTTTGAGCCTGGGAGATGGAGGCTGCAGGGAGCCATGATTGCACCACTGCACTCCAGCCTGGGTGGCAGAGCAAGACCCTGTTTCAACAAATAAAATATAAAATTTCAAAAATAGGGTGGTCCCTGGAAGGCTCAGACAAGGTAAAGTGTGAACAGGGACTGCAGAGGAAGGGCCTTCGAGTGGCCAGGCTCTAACAGATCCCTGACCGCCTCACGGAAGAGCAGCGAGAGGCAGCTTGTGGACGGCAGGCAGGTGGGGAGAACTGCAGAAGCTGAGGCCATCAGGGTGTCCTGGCACATGGGTGTGCATAAAAGAGACCAGTGTTTTGGCCTTAGCTCCTTGTGGACAAATTTGCGGAAATTGTGCACAAGATTTTTTGTGTTCAAAAGACAGAACTCAAAGTCACCCCTGTGCTCACTGAGATGAATGCATATCTGATGGCTTCCTTTTGAAAGGCTAATCAGAAACTCAAAAGAATGCAACTGCTTATCTCTTACCTATCTATGACCCAGAAGCTCCCTCCCTGCCTTGAGTTGTCCTACTTTCTGGGCGGAACCAATGTCCATCTTACATGCGCTGACTGATGTCTCACATCTCCCTAAAATGTATAAAACTGAGCTGTGCCCCGACTACCTTGGGCACCGTCGTCAGGACCCTGAGGCCGTGCCACGGGCGTGCGTCCTCAGCCTCGGCAAAATAAGCTTCCTGACTTGACCGAGACTTGTGTCAGATATTTGGGGTCCACAGATAACTCTTTGTATGTTGTATGCCCATTAACATAGATTTATGATTATTGTTTTATGAATTGGTCTTTTAAATCATGCAGAAAAAACAGGAGTTACAAACCAAACTATCACACCCCTTTATGTTTTCCTGTGTCGTTGCCTTTGCTAGTGCGTTCTTTCCTCACACCGCTGCACGTTCCTGCTTCAGGCCCTTCCATTTCAGCCTGACGGGCGCCGTTAGCATTTCTAGCAGTTCTGTGAGTAATGAACTCCTGAGCACTTACGTTTTAATTTTTCCTTCATTTTTGAAGGCTAGTTTTATTGGACTTAGAATTCTTGGTCAACAGTTTTTTTTTTCTTTCTTTCTTTCAGGACTTTAAATATGTTGTACCACTGCCTTCTGGTCTCCAAGGCTTCTGATGAGAAATCTGCTAAAAATATTATTGAGGCTCCTTTGCAAGAGACCAGTTGTTTCTGTCTTGCTGCTTTCTTTGTCCTTATTTTTCTGACAATTTGACAATAGTGTTTCTCACTGTGGATCTCTGACTTTTTCTGGCTTGGAGTTTGTTGAGATTCTGGGATATGCAGATTCATTTATTTCATCAAATTTGGAGAGTTTGGGAATATTATTCCTTCAAGTAATGTTCTTCCCTTTTCTATTTCTCTTTTCCTTTTGGAAATCCCGTGATGTGCGTGTTGGTATACTTGATGGTGTCCCCAGGTCCCTCAGGTTACTCAATTTTTCTGCATTTTTTTTCTTTCTGGGCTTCAGAGTGGATAATTCCAATTGCCTTGTCTTCAGGCTCCCTGATCCTTTCTTTTGTGTGCACAAATCTTGCACTGAACCCCTCTAGTGAACACTTTTCCTTTCTGAGACAGTCTCACTATGTTGCCCAGGCTGCTGTGCAGAGGCATGAATGCGGCTCTCCAGCGCCTTGGCTTCCTGGGCTCAAGGAATCTCCCTACTTCAGCTTCCCAAGCAGCTGGGACTATAGGCGTGCACCACCATGCCTGGCTAATTAAAAAAAAATTTTTTTTTTGTAAAGACAAGGTCTCATTATATTGCCCAGGCTGGTCTCAAACTCCTGGGCTCAGCATCCCAAAGTAATAGCATTACAGGCATGGGCCATCATGCCCAGCTGAATTCTTCATTTCTGTTACTTTGCTTTTCAGCTCCATATTTTACACTTGGGTCCCTTTTATAACTTATGTATCTTATTGACATTGCCTCTTGGTTCACACCTTGTTCTCCTCCTTTTCTTTAGCTCCATGTCCATATTTCCCTTTAGCTTATTGAATATATGTATTCTTTTTTTGAGACGGAGTCTCACCCAGGCTGGAGGGCAGGAGTGCTATCTCAGGTCATTGCAACCTGCTCCTCCTGGATTCCTGAGAACCTGAAATCACAGGTACATGCCACCACATCTGGCTAATTTTTGTAATTTTAGTAGAGACAGGGTTTTGCTATGTTGTCCAGACTGGTCTTGAACTCCTGACCTCAGGTGATCTGCCCTCCTCTGCCTCCCAAAGTGCTGGGATTATAGGCGTGAGCCACCACACCCAGCCTGCTTATTGAATATTTTTAAGATAGCTGATTTAACATTTTTGTCTAGTACTTCCAATGTCTGGACATCTTCAGAGATGGCTTCTATAAAATTACCTTTTTTTCCTGTGAATGGGTCATACTTTCATTTTTTTTCTGTATGCTTTGTAATTTTGTGTTGGAACTGGATATTTCGAGTATTATAATGTGTGTCTTAGTGAGAGGGGAGACCCCCTCACCTTCAATTTCACCTCCTCCCTCCCCGCCTTCCAGATGGGAAGGAGGGTGAAGAAGGAAAAAAAATGAAAAAAATAAGATACCAAAGAGCTGGGAAATGACTCCCTCTTTAGTTCCCAGCATCTTTGCTGTCTGTTAACCTTGAAAGAGCTGCAAACAAATGCTATCTCTGCTGGCTGGAGCCTGGCACCGGGTCACACCCCCACGTCTCCACAGGCCAGACTCCCTCCTGGAAACACCTCTGCCAACAAAGAGCCTGTTGCCTGTTGGCTCTGTAAGCCCCTCCCCTGCTGGTCCCTGCTCACGCTGCATATGAATTAGCAAATTAATGAAGCCAAAAGATGGAAAGGTAGGACGTCCAGCAAATGGACAATGACATAGTTCTGCCTCAGTTTCCCCTTTGGCGCTGTAAGCCTAGACATAGTTCTGCCTCAGTTTCCCCTTTAGCGCTGTAAGCCTTGACATAGTTCTGCCTCAGTTTCCCCTTTAGCACTGTAAGCCTAGAAAGGGGGAGAGAAGCCCCGCAGCCCCTGGCCTAATAAAAAGCCACTTCCTTCCTCAGCTCAGTGTTCCAGGGTTTGTTCCCGCTGCTCCTGGTTCATTAGTCCACTCGTGTTTCCACAGGAGCACCTCAGGCTCGGCGACTCACACAGAAGAGAGGACCGCTGGGCTCCTGGGTCTGCAGGCTGCACCCGAAGCGTGGCCCGGCATCTGCTTGTGGCAAGAGCCGCAGGCAGCTTTGACTCATGGTGAAGGGGAAGGGGAGCTGGCACACCATGGTGCCACGGTCTTTTAACAAGCAGGTCTCAGAGGAGCTAACAGTGAGAATGAACTCCACCGAGGACAGCGCCAAGCCATTCAGAGTTCACCCCATGACCGAACACCTCCCACTAGGCCCCAGCTCCAGCATGGGGATGAATTTCCTCGAGATTTGGAGGACAAATATCTGAGCTGTATACATGTGGTTAACTCTGAAAATCAGTTTCTCCTTCCTCAAAAATTGCTGTTGGGGGCTACAATTATTATTTTAACTTTTTGAGATGGAGTCTCACTCTGTCACCCAGTCTGGAGTGCAGTGGCCCGATCTCAGCTCACTGCAGCCTCCACCTCCCGGGTTCAAGCGATTCTCCTGCCTCAGCCTCCCAAGTAGCTGGGTTACAGGCTCCCCCCACCATGCCCGGCTAATATTTTTGCATTTTTAGTAGAGACAGGATTTCATCATGTTGGTCAGGCCGGCTTCAAACTCCTGACCTCACGTGATCCACCTCCTCGGCCTCCCAAAGTGCTAGGATTATAGGCGTGAGCCACCACACCTGGCCAATTATCTTTTTTTTTTTTGAGACAGAGTCTTACTCTGTCACCCAGGCTGGAGTGCAGTGGTGCAATCTCAGCTCACTGCGACCTCCGCCTCCTGGGT